CATAGGTGGCAAAGAAAGCGAAAAGTTCAGTCATCCTCCCGGAAAATGAAGCGCTCGAATAGTAGTGGAAATGCAGATTATAAGAGATTACCACGGCGGAAATCACAGAGAAGAGCTAACTACATTGAGCCAAAAATGTTAAAACTGCCCTGCACAGTGCGTCGAGCGCCCATTCATTTTAGGGGTTATCTCCTCAGGAAGCATTCTCATCGTCAAAGCTGCGTCTGAAGGGAGTCGAAACCGCAGAGGTCGTCGCGCAAGGAGTATTCAACCACTGTGAGGCCAAGGCAGGGGGCTCTCGTGACAACTCGACTGCCAGCTCAAAAAAAGGATTCATCAACGCCTGGTAGTCAGAAGTTTCAATCGGTTGATCATTTTAAAGTGTTTTCTGACGGTCTGACGAGAATACTATCAGCTCCACAAATGACCATTAACTGGTTGTTTAGCAACCGAAACTTTGGAAAGTGCGATGAAAAATCTTTTTAATACAAAAAAGAAATAGTAACTCTCAACTACAGCCTGAGTACGTGTTGTTAGGTAATGCGAGACCAATTCAAAAATTGCTGCTCTTTCGCGTTGAGGTCGTTTCGCGCGGCATTCGCGCACGCGACAGATCCGCGCGAAAACAAGCCCATGAGATAGTCCAAGTACGCAAGAAGAAACTTTTATGATTTTGAATTCATGTCATTAACGCGATGCACCACAAAACGGAATTGATTAACGCTGACTGTGCTTTTTTTTTAGTTTTTTGCCTTTTGCGTAATGGATGCGTTCCTGCTAGAAAACAAAAAGATAATGGAGCTAGACTGTTGTCTTCTGATTCCGAGGAAACAAGAACAAACATAAAAGTAGTAAGAGACAAAGTAAGTCAGCAAGTTTCCGCAAGGGAGAGGCTTCCTTTGAGGCATCTACACAGCATTTATCAAAATTTTTAACAAAAAAAGTAAATTTCAAAATGATGTTCGTGTTCGCAAATATGAGAGCTGAGAAGCAAATATGAGAAACAGGTAATAGTAAACCAGACAAAATTCATAATTTGGCTCCAAAAGAGGGCTGTAACATATGCTCTGAAAAATATTCGTCGAGAGCTCAGTGTCAAATTGAATTGGAAACCGGCAGAAGCCTCGCCTAATGAACTTATTGCCAGCCACATTTGAATGCAACACGATGAAAAATCTTCAACGGACCAATTCCGCTCTTGACATCCTGCCCTTTCACCCTCTTTTCCTTTCATACTTTATCAAAAACCACAATGAATCGTCTAAAACGAAACTGAGATAAAGGTCTTTCTTGAGGTTTACGCTATCATGCCATTCACCTCTTCGAGAACGTGTTCTTTCTTTTTCTTTCTCTTTTTTTGACCGAACATCATAATCAAACCGAGAAGATATGAGGATAACGACTGGAACATTTAGCCGATCAGCTTCTTTTCTGAGAATCCAAGGGTTGGACGTTGAGTAAGGGTGTTTGGCCGAGGATAGTACTCAACCTTTACATGGACTGAGTAAGAGCTAAAGGATGTACATACATATCAGTGTTATCATCCTTCAAAAGGACCGCAGTTTCAATGTTTCTCCTACAGTACTAGAAAACTGGATGGTCTTAGTGAATCTCTAAACGGTCTTCGGGCGTTAATTGACCTCGTCTGAAGGTTTTCCCCAGATAGATGTCCCCAGACAGAACTAATGCCTAAATCATGAAAGAGGCTATGCAAGGCATTTTTGACCGGCCATAGGAATCTAATGCTCCCTTTCGACTAGAAAACTTTAACATCGGGTTCGAGGAAATGACAAAAGTATATAGTATTCGGGCTTTAATCAATTCCTCTGAAGGACGCGCCCCGCATTCGACTTCCATTCGGAATCGTATAGTGGCGTATTGAATACGTACTATGTGGCCTAGACAATTACTTGCGGCGGCCAGCCCATGTGCAAATCAGTGCTTTTATCCTACCAAGCGTGTTTAGCACCGATTAATCGACCCCGGAGGGATGGAAGCCTGTGTTGTTCTAGGCGGATACCGAACCCGTGACCATGAGCGTGTGATGGTGCGTCACTTGCCACTATACCATCTCCGCTGCCAGAATGAGTATAGACCGAATATTTTATTTGTGATTGGGTTTTTTAATGCAAGCTGGGCTCATCTAGCGTTTCTCGCTGTAAGTCGTCAAGATTCTCTCGACATTCCCACCATTCTGACATGCCACTTAGATTTCTTCACAAACTTCGGCAGCCGTTAGTCAAGAGTACATGACAAGGGACAGCCAATTCTACTTTTTAACTTGACACAGGTGCACTCAAGTAAACCGCAACCTGTTCATCTCTCTTGTTCGTCTAATCGAATCAACAAAACTCAAAAATTATAATCAATGGTCCACACCGAAGTCATATTTTATAATCAGACAGCTGCCCATGTAAAATCTTAGCCAAGCAAACCAGAGAAAAAGTCCTTCATATTCATCCATTACAATTTTCTAACGTCACTCCTAGAACCATTGATGGCCATGAACTTGTTATAGTTGTTTTTTATTAACTTAGTTTTTAAAGGCAGAGTATGCTGATTATCGCTGTAGCGGACTATATAAGGAGCCGTCGCTCTGTGGAAATATAGAGAGTAACAATTGTTGATAGCGCAAAGTAAGGGCTTTGGCAGGCTGACCTCGAGCCTAAACCAACATCTATTTCTGAGTTTTCGCTGGTGAAACTTGAAGAGGATGGAGCATCTAGTCAGCACTTAGGTTCCTCCACAAGTACGGCATATGCTGTAGGCCTGTTGGCCGGATGGCAATGACTTTCCACGAAACTTTCCACCTGAAAGATTTTTGGTTGAAGAAAGGTCAGACCTCCTAGGGACTGGATAGCGCAAGAAAAGTAAGTTAACCGGTAGCTCGAGTCTCTCTGTGATTGTATCGATATTTGTCATCTGCTGTACTGTTTGTATTAAAATTTCGAATCACGTTGCTCACAAAAGTTTTATACTTAGTAAGTACCAGGAGCGGCACGTAAAGTCGATAATACTGCCTACTGTTAATATACCTCCTGTCAACACCAAAAGACAGATCCAAAGCAGACAAAACCTCGGAGGATTCTTCTGTGGGCTCACCTTCGCCAGAATACCAGTAGTAGCCATCTTATAGTATTACAGATATGGGTAATGATATGTATATTGCAGTGATGCTTAGGAGCCACCTTTTCGTGAAATTCAGTAACCAATCAGTTAGTCCCAATACCAATCACTCAGCCCCAAAACCGATCAGTTAGCCCTGAAACAAACCCATAGACCCTGCAATACTAATTGTAAGTGGAAGTCAAGGGTAAAAGATGGATTGCGCGATAGCGGCACTCCNTAAATTTCGGCAACTCCGTTTTGAGCTCCTAGTAGAAACCGGTATGGGAGGCCTGTCAATAGCCCAAGTACTTCGATGTATTAATTGATTGATCAGCACGTGCTGTATGATGTATAGTGAATTTATTCTGTAATATTCTAGAGGACAAACAACTAAACACACGGAATTTCCCATGATGTAAGTGAAAAGGGTGATTGTTCTCAAATGTACAGCACAAAAGGGGGGAGTGTTCGTCGAATTCACGAAGGACAGTTCAAAGAAGGGTTGTATGATACCCGAATCGAAACGGAGAGACGATCAAACGAAAACGAGATAGGGAAAACTAGAAGTACTGCAATACAGGGCGCTCACGTTCATGCACCACCACATACAAAGAAAAAAGGGGATAGCAGGAAGGAAAATGAGAATAAGAAAAAGAGGGATAACATCCACGAAGAAGGACCGGGATGAAGTGACAAGCGAACAGAAGACAGGCACACAGGCACAGAAGTATAAACAGATCTGTGCGGGAAAATTCCCTGAGTAATCAATGTTAATTCTGTTGTGATACGGTGGCATAAATCCAGTGGCATCCGATCATTCCATCTTTGGAATCGTGTAGCAAATCGTTCATCTCCTTTGCACTCAGATTGTTGATGGGACGATCGAAAATCCGTGCCGCTATGACCAGAGGGATTTCCTGGAAACATTCGTTTTCGTACCAAATCAATCAATAACCGTGAACAAGAAATGAGCAGCCGCCTTTTTTTTACATTCGTCTTTATACTTGTTAAAAATTTTTTACTCCGAGAGAATTTCAGACTTCCCGCAACCAGTACCACTAACAGTACTTACCCCAGATCTGGCGCGGGAGCTGACGAAAAGGTCCCAGAGTTGTTCGGCCCGGCTGGCGTTCTGAAGCGAAACAGTTCGTAGGAAAAACTTTCTTGGACGTTAAATAACATAAAAAGGAGATGGCTACCAACAAACCTGATCCAAGAAAGGAAGAAGTTCGTTTTTAGTGGGCAAGCAAACTTTCAATGAAAGGTCAGTATAGCTGCCTGCAGGAAGACCCTGAAGAACAGCACAGTGTCGTAATACGGAGAAAATCGGAAACAAAAAACTTATAGAATGCTTCTTGACGGTGATAGACAAAGGACATTGCAAAAAACAGTACAATAGAATGGACAAAGCGTAATCTGTTTTACACTGAACCTCTGAACCCTTCATGTGAGCTTTTACTCCAAGTGGGATGGTACCCGGGAATGATGTCATGGGTTGCAAAAACCAATGCGTGGGCACGTTCCAAGATGGTCTATGGTGATTGGAATTTTTTAAAATAATAAATGTCTATTGAAGAATGATTTCAAAGCGTGTTTCTGTGTGTTCTGTTGAGTGCGCGTGGTGGTTTGTGGTGACAGACAGATAATTGTTGTACCTGGCTGGAACATTGAGCCGGTTTGTTCCCTTGGAAGATTTGCACGAAATTCTTTAGCGAACCGCCCATTGTATGACAGATATCGCAATGAACACTAAAATCGAATTGGAACATTCATTATTCGATTCGTTGAATGTTTGATATTTGATTTTTTGCCGTACGTATTTGCAAACCCACCAGGATCCGATCCCACCGCATCCATTACTATCGGCATTCACACATCTCTCCGGTTTTCCATGAATTCCAATACGTGTTTCCAAATGGACATAGTATTTCTTGGAACCATTCAGACCAGGTGGGAATACCTGCAATAAGGTTTTGGCCAACTTAAAATTGAACCGAAAGAATGGCCAAACCGTTCCCCGGCTTGTTCTTATGTATCAACTGGGAAATAGCTTCAAACAACTCGTCCAAAGACTCACCTCCACCTTGCCTCCGCTCATTCGGAAACATTTATGGCCCTGTGCATTGGTTTCTTCATGGAATTCAACACCAGCGGTCTTGTACGATGGGAATTTGATGAGTAGATTTTCCTTTTTTGGTCCTGAAAAGAACGAATTACAGTAGATGAGATGGGTGATTTTCTCCGTGCAATGTATAGTGGCTATAGTATGGCCACTATACATGTCCTACGGATGGCCATTCTATCATGAAAAAGAAATAGCCGATCCGATCAAGCATTAGAGCGAATCTGGAAACGAGCGACTTCGCAATGGCGGAATCCTGTTTCGAGGTCACGCACTAGTGCTTTGCATCGATGGGTCACTCTTAAGTGCTAACAGAAAAAGCCGTCCCCTGATGACGAACACCAACAGCCCCCTCCCTTGCAGAATCATCCCCAACGACGTTGGCTTCAGCAGGGCGCTTACCGTACATGACCACCATCCGGGCGGCTGCCAAGTACCAGATGAACCTACTGTAGATGAACCCACAACTAATCGATATTGCTATTATTTTATAATTATGAAAATAAGTTGCCATGTAAAAAAGGGCAATAGGTAATCGTTCGATCTTCTACCGACATGGATGATCAATGAAACAGTGACATCAGCAACCGTCATTAATCAAGATCCTCTCCGCCGCTGTGCGCTAGCAGCCGACAACTTCGACTTGGATTCAATCGAAATAGGGAAACACCTATTAAACGCATGGGTATCTGCTTACTTGAAAACCACAGCCTCAAAGAAATCGATCCAATCAATGTGAGGACTGGAACCGCTCCGTTGGTATGGTATCGCCATGTTGTGAACCTTCACTTTGCTGGATACTGTACAAGGCTATATTCCCTTCAGGGTATCAGTAGAGATGTCCACGGAGCCGATAGAGCCTTTCTAAAACTACTAGATCAATTGCTAGCCTTCGCCCCTTACAAAAATCTAGTAAGGACCCTGAAGGACAACTTGGTAGACCAATCTGGACCGCAAATCCAACTGCCAACGGCTTTGGATGCTTCTCCGTTCCTGGACCACATTCATTGTTGCCATCCCTCCATCAAAGTACTGCCGACGTCAAGAAAATACAAATTTGTCGAGGACTAGTACGGGAAGAGGCCATAGAAGGTTCTTGTCAACTGAAGGAAAACTGACTGGTTGCACTCGAGTGATGTTGACTGTAGTGTAATCGATAGCTGATATACTTGTTACTATAACTGTTTCACAGTCGCAGTAACTCAGACCACATTTATCGATTCAAGATGCAACAAATTCCCAACTAGATTATTCTATGGAAGCAAGACTCTAAGCAGATAGTAAAGGAACAGCAGTGCTCTAGAAGGACATGGTAGATGGAGCGTGGTAGTGGAGTAAAGGTGTACAAGTAAGACGATGAAATGACGATTGGACAAGTGTCGAATTCACCACCAAGAGCGTTCTTCTATAGTAGAACGTACTCCGGAAAAATAGTTTGAAGTGGCTATTGCAGTTTTGAAGTGGCTATTACAGTTCTTAAGTAATCTAATAGTATTGACAGTAAATGTAGTTCCAAAAAGAAGATGGAAGAGTTTGAAGTGATTGGAGTAGCTTCAAAAATCCAAAAACGAAAACGAATAATTGAAAATAATGGCAGATGGATAGGAATGGATGATGATGATCACCTGAACTGGCCGAACATGGGAAGTGTCTTTCGATCCGAACAGAAATCTCAGCGGCCCACGTTGATTGAGGTATGAAGGCAGCAACGATGAGGAGAAGAGCAAGAGGAACGAGGTGTCGCACCATGTTCATCGTATCACTACTGGAAGATTCCTCGCGACGCCTTTTCACTGTACGCCACTGTTTCTCGCCCTCCGCCTCTCGATCTCTCGCCGGGAGGCGGATCCAACCACCTGCCGCCGCCCGTCGACACAATGACGACAACGACGGATGGGGGATGGGCAAGGAAGGCACAGCACCAGCAGCAGCAGCAGGCTGCCCCCCAAGTGATCGGTCTCAGGTAGTAAAAGACGAAAACCGTACGTCACAATTTAGTTACTTTAAGGGTTACTAGAGTACAATATAAATTTTTCAAGCCAGCTTCCACAAGGACCCATCAAACTTCTTCGGCTCGTGTTAAGAAGCCGGTTTCACTGAATTAATTGCTTGTCTATACACAACCGCACATACACAGCATATGGTTAAGCGGAACTGCTTACAAGTAAACAAAAACACAGGGAACAAGTCGTTCTTATTTCAAATGAGAAGCAGCGTAATCATTCTTCGATACTTACTGTTAATGGCCCTTACAAGAGTAAATAGTGTCAGTCGACTGTAGACAAAAAATTTGAATATGTGTTTAGCCGATTTTTTTCATCACTAGCTTCAGGCTTGATAGCCGCTAGCTTCTAGGCTACATACAATAGTGTACAATGAGTTACTCAAGTAATTTCGCTCACGGTATGTCACGCTCAAAGACTGCCTTTCTGACCTTTCACCCGGAACCACTTTGTTGAGCGATTCTCCTTTGATGATCCGCGGAGAAATGGAGAAATCGGTTAAGAAATAGCTCAGCACTTTGCAACTTTTTTTTTCTTTCTCCTGTCTTGCTAACCTTCAAGAGCTTTCACAATGGAGCAAATAATTGATGTATTCAGGATTTAGAAATGTAACGTAGTTTCAGGCTGAAATTTGTGCCATGAAGCTCCATTACAAGTTAAGGTATAAAGTAGTCATGAAGTCACTTTCTGAGAATGGATTTGAGTTCAGCTTCGAGGTATGTATCCTTTCTAAGAGTCTGACAAGTAATTTCAAGCTGGTAATTTTTTCTGTGCTGTTTATACTTTCGTAGGAACGGAGGAACAGTGCTGGCAGGTGTCTCTCCTGAGTTTGTACTATAAGATTTAGTCCGGAAAAATAGTTGTACTACTTCTAGCTAGGAGACCGAGGTAGCTACTGCAGCTTACGAGTAATTCAGCACTCTTGGCAGTCCGAGAACTTACTATGTTGAGGCTTTACAGTTCAAAGTTTTCTCCGAGGCTGTCTCCTGTTTCATTCTTAGCTATGCAGTTTGATCCGTAAAATTGGTAAGTCGTTATCGTCGTTTCGTGAAAAAGACAGTTCAGATGTTATTGAATAACGCTGGAAACTTCGGGAACACTGGAAGAACTCCTCCAGGCACGGTAATGAAGAAATTCAAAGATCACTTCCGAGTGTTACACCTTGGAAACACACCGAAATGCCCAATAATACTCGATAACTGACGATACCGCCTGCCCTTATGATAAATGTACACCGACCGACACAATGAAGAGTTCAGATTACAGCGAACATTGGGCGATGACAGTTTCGTTTCCGCTCCAAGCCGATCGACCGCCCGATGCGCGACAAAACGCCTCCGGGTCGCTTTTGTTTGTGTTTTCTTACGGGCCGTTGATGTGTTGGAACCTTTTTTGTATATTCTATCGAATAGTGCTACGTATGGGACGAAAAGTAATGAATGATTGGCCCGACAACTATTCACAGTAATGACAAAACCAGTTCCGCTCTGAATCGGATTCGCAAGTGAATCTGCCCTCGTTGATCTAAGACTAAAGCAGATGTGATTGTAAGTGGTGCTGCTGGTTCTGCTCTATAGCCAAGCAGGCATCACTCATCCAGTTGGGTGGCTGGGGATCATTTCTGGCCTGATCTCGATCCCTGATCACTAACTCTACTTTGAAGCTAAGTAACAAAGGGCTTCCTGCAGCTGATCTTATACTTCAGTTCAACTGGCTAAACCAGGAAGTAATTCACAGGCCCTGGAACAGGCCAGACATTCCAAACTTTGCTCTGTGCTAACTAAATTACCAGCTGGTTCATTACCATCTTTGTTCAGAACAAGTTTATCTAATTCAATTTGAATAAAATGAAGCAGTTACATGGGAGGTAAGAGGAAAATAGAAAATATAGAAAGTAGCTGGGTAGATAGAAAGTAAAATTTCGAGCAGGGCATGTCACAATAAGCTGAGAAGTTTTTGTGGCCTTCTGAACAGAATAAATAAATGAATAAATAAATAAATAAATAAGTAAATACAGCCTTGCCACCATCATACCATGTCTCTAGCCCATTAGAAGTTCAAGAATATTCTGTATGAATGGAAAAACAGTGTCTGCCTCTAAAGAAGAGGAGATACCCCGTCATACCTGACTTCCCTCCGAAATGACTTTTTATACAGCTGCAGGCTTCTGTACAGCTTCATAGCACCTCTTTAAAAAGTGTATGTCGCGTTGTCACGATCTTACTGCTACAAATTCACTTTTCTAAGTCTGTTCCCAGTTGGACTCTGATATGTACTACCAGTAATATAAGGTAATATATGCTGAGAAATGGCCGACTTTTTGGTTGTTTCAGTGCTACAACTCTCGTTTTTCCCCCGAAGAATCCCAAAATCCATCTCGAGGGCTCTTTGGTAGAATGCCTTGCACTCAGCCACAAATATTGAAGTAACTTGTGATAGGAATTTCATTTTAACTATTCAGTGGGGTAAAAACTTCCCAGAAGGTGGATTCTGCTGTATGGAGGCCCTGATGTTGCCTTCAAAATACGGCCCTCATAATTATAAACCTTCTTAGCAGAGCTGGTAGGATCAAGAGGATGAGGACGAGGAAAGGAAAATCAGGTATAGTCAACAATCAAGGCGAACAGAAGAACTTTCACGTACGAAAATTGACAACTGGCTCCCTCCTTCCTTTCTCGGATACTCCCATACTCCCCTCAGGGCAAATACGACCCAGCAGCCCAGACACAGCCCACAACAAAAAGCAACCCTATAGTTCAGCCCTTGTTAACAAGAGCAATGAGCTACAGCAGGACGTAGACGTCAAGGCTCGAACAGCCTGTGCTTTAGGTGAGCCCCATGACCATCATGACAACGCTAGGGGACTTTCTAGAATCTAGCGTCTGTAACTATGACCCTGTCAATCAATTAAAAATCAAACCAAACATAATTACTGGATTAAGATTTTTATCAAATACCAAGCTAACGGTCATCGTATGTACAAACAAGCTGTCGACGTGTGTGAGACATCAGTTTTCACCTAGTTATCATTAACTTCAGAAATACAATAATAATCAAATCCTTAATTCTGATTGATTTTCAGATTTCCATAGATTTTGTGGCAAGCGACGTACACTTGCTGGTTCTTGATCATCATATTGAAAGGCAGGCTCCAGTACACATCGGCGGGTAGTGGTTCATCCTGAAAAAGCGATTTTTTCTAATAGCTTCAGCGATTTTCTAATAGCTAACCATATTTCACAGATGTATCTACGAGGAATTTTTCAGTGAAACCGGTTTCAAATTAATTCGTATTTGCATTACAGTAACTCCGAAATATGAAAAAATGAGGCAACTTATTGTAAAGTACTTTTCAGTAATTTCAGGTCAGGTTCATGATGAAACAAAAACTGAATTTTCTTGGTACTTAGGTTTTGTCGCCAATTCAGTGGTTGTGCACTAGAACGACAATGGACAATACGTCACCACGCCTATATTACTGGTTCTTATCGGTAACTTGTCCACCGAATCGATCACACAACAAGATTTCTGAAGAGTACACTTGTCGAATAATTCTTTCAAGTGATCAGTAATCTTATATATAAAAAAGTTCTATGTATTGAGAGCTGAATTCTGTTCAGGGCTTACTTCAGAGTAAGGTATTGGACGGATTTTGAGGTGATATTAGAAATTAAAAAAGCATAATGCCTCAGAGAGATGAGGATGTGGTGAGATAGGTTACAAACAATTACTATAACAGCGGCCAGTAAGTAAGCATGGTCAAGGAAACCGTTCATCCTATTTCAAATTATGACCAAGCTCCGAATGATTTATTCCCTCCCAGCAGCCTCAAAGAAATGGGTACTGTCACTTACTTACCTGCTACTAAAGAGTATTGTTTTGCTATTAAGCAAGAACAACTACAAACAAACACATTATCTAAGTACTGTAACAACTATAAATAAATAAATAAATCAGTACAGTAATCATGAAGACATAACCATTTCGTGCTGCCTCGCCAGATAAAAATGGGATACATGGGGTGTGTTCAAGAGAATGGGCTTTCTCTTTACTCAAAAGTGGCACTTCCTGCTACTTCTTGGGACGTCAAACCTTCTTTGTTCATGAAAATGCTTTTTTCCACAACTCTATGGACTGAGTATGATTGTATCCAAATATTACTATCTATAGGTACAAAAGTTAGGGTCTGAACAGAGGGCTTCAAATGAGACCTTTTCAAAACATCAACTTCCAGGAAAGCTTCCCGAACTGCTTGCTCAATCATGCTAACTCAGGTTTCCGTTAGATTTTTAAGCTTAGTTCCTAATCTATACCCTTATCCGATACTATTCCATTACCTTTGCTTACAACAGATTCAGAAGTTCATACACGAGCTCTAATCGAATCTCATTAGCATTTTGTCGATACAATATGACTTTTTCTGTAAGATTCATCAATCCCTACTTCTAATTCCTCTTATACCACTGTCAGAACTGTTACTATGTAGACAATTGTAGCACGAAAGTTTCTATGGTCGCGTTGGACAACACAGAAGTCATTTCTTGTTGTTTACTTATGTGCATATGGTCCAACGAATTTTAAAAAACATTAGGTTTGTATCGCACTTGAGATTATACACAGGTATTTATAAAATACGTCGGAAACCACGCTCAGATACCATAATCTGCATGGAAAAACTGGTCCTATCGTTGATTTCACAATAGCCCTGTGGAAGGTGCTAAACGGCGTAACGACGACATGCTGGCTGTGGCAAGGTCATTCTGTGGCAAAAAGCAAGCTTTAGCGTCAACACGAACCAGAAACAAACTCTCATTACATGTCGTCGTTCATATAACCCCCCAAAACAAAACGATATTTCGCCCTATCACATGAGAGATGATTACACTAAAGAAACGACAACGTGTCCCTATGACGTCATTACAATCACAACAAGATATTCCTATGTAACAATAGTGAGCGATGATTGTGTGACATATGACTCGTATTCCTTCGAATGTCACAATTTCTGAAGCATATGACGGAGATCTACCCCTCTGAGTTGCGCCATGCCACCGTTCACAATCTATATTTTGGGAACGTGAGGGCATGTGTGCTGGACCTACCATGTGCCTCCTTACATACCAGTAATTTTGAATCTATACTTTTTTAATGATAACAAGCATATGTCCTATGACCAAACCCCCAGACTATAAGCGGCTTCATTTCTATGGCTGGAATTCAATCCCATGTATATGACAATTGATAAACCAGATTTACATTTTCAATGATTGTCATATGTATGGGATCAAGTATATAGTTAAAAGTGCCAAAGGAGATTTCCTAAGACGAAATGTGAAAATCTGGTCAGAGAAAGCCCTGTAGAGATCCCCTCTACATCTTCTAATTTGTTAAAGAAAAGCCTCAGTAATCGCACTAAGTTTACTTACCTAAAGTGTGCTACAACGGGAGGTTTTCAGACCAGCAGAACAAGGATATCACAACGTGTTATATGCAGCACAGCAGTTTTATCGAATACATAAGTGCTAGAGGGACAGGAGACTTTCACAAGCCCCAGCGTGCGGCAAATCCTAGCTAGTTGTCTCATCGCGCGCCATGTTTTAGTTAGTTGCCTTGCTCTGCATGCCGTGCGGCGACAACCCAATCTTACACACATCTAAAACTCGATCGATGAAGTCGAAATTCTATGATAATTCGTTACCTTTCACCTTTATTTGATTTCTCCCTACTACATTGTAAGGCATAACTAAAACTTGGTCTCCTAAAACTTCCTTAGAAATTTCTTCCTAAAACTCCTTTTTTGAATGACTTTTTCCCAGTTAGATTTGAAGAGCCACCTGAAAGACCTCTGAACTCAGTCACAATGATAGTTGCAAGTGCCATACGATGTACTTGCCAGTGTTTCTATACACCATACAAGTAAACCCAATCTTCTGACTCCGGGATAAATGGAGGGCTCGGTTGAGCAGCACTGGATAAGATTCAGAACCTAATCACCGAACAGTGCTTAGGTGGTGACGTGTCTTGCCACTGTTTCACCTGTCATCTATTTCGATACATGAATGAAAAGAGCAGCGATTGATGGAACAGGTTCTAGCAACAGGTGTCGGAAATTGATCGCCTATCAAAGTAGTTGTAAGTTACGGGGACAATCACGGGAAAGATTTCAAAGTCCTACCACTTACAAACGACTAGGATGAGAATTTCCATAGGCTTCCAAAACACACGAAATCCATTTATTTTCAAGTTCCGACTTTTTGCAAAACTTTGACTCTGTGCCAAGAAACGCGATTCATAATCCATAATAGTCCCAATTTAATTTACTGCCGTTACCACATTTTGATAGCGCATTTTTTGTTTTTTATAAAAGTATAAATATGTTTGTTTTTTTCTTCAAACACCCTGCGGCATCTTAAACATTGTGAGAAGAGAAGATTTGGGTGACGGGCAGTTGAATCGGTTTTGTGTGGTCGATTCGCCGCACGCGATAGTCGCGAACGATTGTCCTCTTTATTGCAGCTCTAGCATTCTTCATACAGCTCAGTCGAGATGCGATTATTATTTTTGGCATGATTACACTGGTACTTCTTTTCTTGCTGTATTTCCTACAGGATGCGATGCTTCTGTCTCGTTCTGCTACATTCCTTCGCGGGCGACGTCGCTCTCGCCGCGAAGCGACAATCCCGATTCAGCTGCACCACACCTACGGGCCCATCCGAAACATCTTATGGGGATGCGTTGGCCTTCAATTTCACTCGAGAAAAATGTCTACATGCTACGAATATGATGCTCTGCGATTATTAACTGCTGACTTGCTACTGTGCTAGTCGAAATTCAATAATTTTTCGTACAGACGGGAACTTCGTACCCAAAATGATGTGGACGTTTAATGGCTTATTCCAACGTGAAAATATGAGCCAAGAATACGCTCATCGCTATTAGAGAGATTACGCTCTGCTGGGAAGCTGTCATTTGAAAAGGAGATGTCCACTAATATTTTCAAAAATTATATTAAAGAGTCTCATGGGAAATTGAATCTCAAACATCGACATATTAGTCCTGGANGGGGATGCGTTGGCCTTCAATTTTACTCGATAAAAAATCTTAATGTCTACATACTCCGAATATGATGCTCTGCGATTATTCACTGCTGACTTGCTACTGTGCTGGTCGAAATTCAATAATTTTTAGTACAAACGGGAACTTCGTACCCAAAATTATGTGGACGTTTAATGGCTTATTCTAACGTGAAAATATGAGCCATGAATACGCTCATCTCTATCAGAGAGATCACGCTCTACTGGGAAGCTGTCAATCGAAAAGGAGATGTCCACTAATGGCGTGAGTACAGACGAGAGCACAATGACAGCGTGAAATGTACTAAGTAAAGTTTAAGGATAGACAGGTACTTGGAGCCTTAACGGATGAAAAACATTTTCAGAAATTACATTAAAGAGTCTCATGGGAAATTGAACTTTCAAACATCGACATATTAGTCCTGGACACTTCATAAATTAGCCTACGCAAGGGGTCGAGTGGCTAATTTATGGGCTGTTCCATTATCACCTGAAGTGTGACGCTAAAAACGTCCTCTTTGCAACTGATCTAACTAAGCGAACATAACTTATATTCTCACCAACTTGTAAAGAATTGTTGATACCGCTCACCTTGAAGAAGCTCTTCTTTGATTTACGGTAGACACTCTCAATACGAGCCTGCGTCTGCATCTGTTTGCTGACGTCCGTGTCGAAGATATATACCGTTGCAAAGATACCCATTGATCTGACCGATGAAGAATCCTGAATTGAATCGGAAGTACGCTTGATAATTCCGGTCAACAGAATAAACATGCTGATGAGATCGGTCTCTCGAACGACCCACGATGCTATGAGAGGATAACACTTCAATGTACAAAAGGTCGTGAAATTCAATTCCCATTGGTTTTGAAATTTGAATCTACAGCAGAGGCCTCAAACGTTTTCGGAATCGCGTCCATCCAGCATTTATGTAAACTCATTGAAAACTGTTTAAACTGTAAACTGCAATGTAAATCGTTTGTGTAAAGTAGTTACACAGCGCACCCTACCACTACAACATTTCCGGGTTGCATGCGTGAAATATTCGCTCTAACTGAAGTAACAAAAATTTACAAAACTATTAGGCGGGGAAAGGAACGAGAGGGATCATCATTGAATCTTTCAGTTCTTTCCGTGTTAATTAATTATTGTCAAGTACTAGCAGCTTTTTCAGAAATTCCGTTCGAAAACGTTAAAAAAGCTACGCAGACAAAAGTCTATTTTGTATTTCGTAAAAATTCATCTCCCAAGGTGACCAACAAGCAAAAATATGTAGTAAATCAAAGTGGTCGTCTATGTCTCATCAATTGATGACAGTAAAGGCATACGGTTTCTAAAACTTTTTGAAGCTTATACATGCCACTTTATGGCCACATACATGGGAGAGCGAATGATAAAAAATGATGTTCTCGAAACCCTTGAAGAAAAATTTTATTATTATCAATAAAAACCGAACAGGTTCAACCATCCCTAACTTTTTTTGTGCGTTGAATTTTTTAAGGACTTTCTGCAGTTAGTTGGGTATGTGTAAGTTGAACGATTACTGCTGAGACTCACATCACTTCTGACCAGTTGCAGGAATGTCTCCTTGGTGAGTCCTTGAGTACGCAGTATGTCTTCGAGTGGTGGTAAGCAGAACGCTAACTTCAGATTATTGTAGGTTCCCTTGCTCAGACCATCCTGCAACGATCGATTAGGTGATTTCGAGTACAAGCAACTACGCGTGCAAAGAAGGTCTGTGATTGGAGGATTGTAGGCAGCCACCAATCACAGACATTCATCATGAGCGCGCGATCTCAGATGATTATTGGTAAATATGGTTCTTCATCGTAAGTCTCATAAATATCTTGACTTACCGAACACTTGATGGGGCTTCCATCTAGAAGAAGTTGTGCATGTACACCAACGTTCTCGCTGAATGTTTTGCACGCGTTACAGTAGAGGCTGGAATTCGAACATTGCAGAAATGTTTTTCCTCACGAGACCGAGTCTGTAAGGTTTTTTGCAACCTTAGAGACTTGAGATGTCAGTTTAACTCCTTTCCTTTAGGCGGAAGCCGCCCAAAAACCTAACATCCCTACGGCATCATTCCTTCCACTTTACCGTTTTATATCTGCGACACTGCTAGTAGTTGGTAGTGAATTGGCAATGCCATACCTATTAATCCATTCCCCGTTACAAGTTACTTTTACGTTGTTGATTTTCACCTACTTCCTATTTTGGTTAATGCAAAAAGTCAGGTGCTGGGGAGAGCGGTCGAACGCTGTTCAGTTCTCAACGCATCTAACATGGAAGGTCTTTCAGGGCGTGGGACGCTTTTTGAAAATGGTTTTTTGCATGGTATAGGGTGTCTCTCTTCTAATTCTTCAATCGAAATGTTGAAGGTAACTTTTGAATTTGACTCAACCAACTTCTTTCAAAAAAAAAAGTTTAAATACTCTTGTGCACACCGCGAAGCAAACTGTTTTTTTTTGGAGTGACAATCATCCAAAGTGCGAAGAACTTTTACTCAGAAGGTCACAGCAGGCAAAATTGTATTCTAGGTTTAGATGCCAATTCCGACGCAGGAAGGTAAAAATTATTTGATCATTTTGGATAATTCATCAACAAAAAGCGTAGGACATTGACGGTGACAAACAATGCGGAGCTGTACTGCCAAAACTCTTTTCGTACTAGGCTCTGTTAGTGGAACCACATGGTAATTGCGAATTATTCAGTATCTTTGCTCAAAATTCTAACGTAGCATCAGCCATCTCTGAGGAAACTTACGAGCTACCATCTCGAGAATTTGCCATGGTGATTGAAAGTCACACACACTACTCATTGCCATTTCTGTGAATTGATGTAGTAATTACGAGTAACATCTAACGGAATTAGCACTATGTGGAACATATCATAGCCATACTCCTTTCATTCATATACATCGTCGTGACATTCCACGCATTCACAATTGGTATGTACTTTCAGAAAAACAATGACTGACCAGGATCCGAAGCCGCCGCATCCATCGGCTCCTTGTTTCACACAGCTTTCTGGGACTTGCTTCTTACTGGCAGTGCTGCGCAGTTCAAGGTAGATTGAGAATTCGCCACGGAAGTCCTGAATGATAATTATGCCCCTCAGATGATTTTATAGAACTCGTAAAATATAATCATAAAGGCAGCAGTTACAAATTTTTGAAGTGAGGGCACCATGACATTTCCATCGCGGTTAAAAATCTTCAATAAATTTCCCTAGATTTAGTTGGTTTTCTCGAAGCCAGTTCTCTTCTACTACTTATAATGCGGCTATGCGGATTTAATGGCACTGAACCACAACTACTCTTATCAATCAGGGGCTTCTCAAGGTGTCACACTTCCTTCGTCATCCGAGCTGCGAGTTTGATTGCCCCTGTCCCCTACACGAAAAATTGGATTAGGGAATAGGGCACAATTTTCCCTCCCTTTAATGAACTTCAAGCGCCAGATGAAGATTGAGCAATCAAAGAGAAGGAAGCCCTTCCATGAATTAGTCCAAAATTTCGTGCATTCGTTAAAAACGATAGCTGAGGCTAAAGAAGATGGCATCAGTAATTTCCCGAACCTTCTGATGGCTCTGTCATTGTCGACATGCAGGTATTGGAATCCTGATGGTTGAGCAAACAACCTTGGTAGTGGAATCGAATTTATTAACGAGTCAGCTCTAAAGGTGAACGTAGAGTAGTTAAAACTACAGAAATAGTCGGTTCTGCTGATACTCCAAGATTTCGGGGTTCCTTAGCATTAACCTCGTGCCTAGGCTACAGGGGCAACTGCGAATCTAAACGAGCAGTGAAAGCAAGATGAAGCAACCACCTGCACTGGATAGGTGCTACGAGCACTAAGATGCAATATTTCTGTGATCGTGAAGCCGCCTTGCTTCAAACTGGCGTGAGCTTTGCTTGAAGTATAAACGAGGCCTACACTCCGGTCATGAATCCGTAGCGCGCCTCAAAGGTACAGTTCACGTTACATATAAACGGTTTCTAAGAGTTTTACCTTTTATAAACCTGTGACCGCCAAAGATAGCCTATGGGGCGCTGCTTGGTCGAAAACCGCCAAACGGCCACAAAAGGTAGTAATAAGGGCCCTAATACGGTTTAGCCGACGTACACGCAGGCGGAAGAGAACGTAAGTGTTTCAAAAGCTGTAGAGGTTGCACCATTCGCACCGGGACCTGCACCTTGCACGCAGGGAGCATACTGCAGCCATTAGTATACAATCGTGCGCGCATTTGAACAGCTTGTCCAAATGNTTTGCTGCTTCCTTGAGGTCTTCTTTTTTCATTTTCTCAAATTACGCCGGTCTCCGTGTTTTCTTCGCGGATTTTGCACGGTTCAATGACAGCTGCTCCATTACTCGTCTAAATTTCGATATACCGAAATTAACGTGAACTGCGCCTATAAATGTGCCGCGCCACACCTTATGGCACTTTGCGCATCATACTCTAGAATACTTCGTGGCCCCATCGACATCATTATGTATCCCTTTCAAAACCTAGTCAAATAACATAAGAACCTAGTGCAACCATTATAAAATTCTTTTTACCCAATAAACTGAGTTGACTCGAATGCGAATAGGGTTGTATCCTCTGTAAAAACAAATGAGAACACTACCGGAACATTTGTGAGGTTATCAATCATATACCGGACAAAGCAATACAGCAAACAGTGGGAAACCTGCGAGACTATTTGGAGTTTCACAGATGCTGCATACCCATTTCAGGACAATGTTCAAGTAAGAACTTGTACTGTACTCAACTTGTGATTGTAAGTGGACGAAATGGATAATGTAGCATGAAGCATCAAGGACACGGTGGAAATTGATTAAAGTGTAGGGATTATATTGCCAGGCCCATAACGGGTATGCGCAGGAAGCTGGAATTCCCTTCGTGGAGGAATAGTTCAAATAAGGCACGAAATATGGCTAGCTGGACAAATCGAGGCAGTTTTTAGGTAGGAGAAAACAAAATTCTGTCAACCAGCGAGTAGCTGCAAAGAACTGTTGTGATGTCCTTCTATACAGCATGTCCCGCAAACATCATCTGGATGGCCTCACACGAGGAAGGATCATCGGGAAACTCGAAGAAGGTCGAATCATGATCAGGGTGGCTCAGGAACTCGGTATCGCTCACAGCGTTGTTTCACGTGCATTGAGAACATTCCGAACTACTGGTACTGGTGCTCGAAGGAGAGAAGGTGATCGACTAATACCAACTACACCAACGGATCACCGCTACATTGTGCAGCAGGCAAGAAGTGATCCACGTCAACCTTCGCTGATTGCAATGACGTTCAACAGGACTTCAAGACAAGCCGTCTCACGCACCACAGTGGCACAACGACTGCACGGTGGTGGTCTGTTCGCCCGACGACCGCTACGTTGTGTTCCTTTGACCCTCACGCATCGGCGAGACCGTTTAGAGTAGTGCAGGGAGCATAGCGAATGGATCGATGAGAAATGGAGCCGTTTGCTGTTTGCGAATGATAGCAGAGTCAGTCTGAGAAGTGAATCTGGACGCACCCTTATATGACGAGAGGTGGGAACGCGCAACTCTTCCAAAAACATTGTCGAGCGGGACCGTTCTGGTGGTCGAGGTGTTATGGTAGGGGGAGGCATCATGATGCATAGCCTTACGGACCTCCATATTTTTAAGCGTGGAACCCTACCAGTCAGCGCTACAGTGACGAGGTACTCCTTCCTCATATGCGTCTTTTCAGGGCTGCAGCGGGGCCTGAACTCATTTTCATGGACGACAATGCGGACCGCATCGAACAGTACAGGTGGAGGAACTCTTGGTACAAGAGGATATCCGACGAATGGAGTG